AGGGCGGGGGCCCAGCAGGGGGCGCTGTGCTGAAGGGAGCAGGGCGGGGGCCCAGCAGGGGGCGCTGTGCTGCAGGGAGCGGGGCCGGGGGGACATTCAGGGGATTCTCACCTGTAATACCCACAGGGCAGCTCGTGGAGCACAAACATGAACTTGTCCTGCTGCTCCTTCTCGTAGGCGAAGCCGGAGAGCTCGGATCGGGTCCCCTCCAGGGCCCGGCCCATGGACTCCCCCGGTAGCTCCAGTTCCACCTTCCAGTCGTTGTTCACATCGGACGCCATTGCCCGGGCCACGGCCACGGCCGACTCCTGCACCGAGGTGCTGAGCTCCCGGTTGCACAAGATATTCACCTTCCAGTCCGTCACGGCCAGCGGCGCCCTCTGCAGCTGCCCCCCCTGCAGCGGGTTCTGGCACAAGGTGCAGGTGCCGTTCGGGCCGCGCCACAGGCTGGTGTCCACCAGGTAGTTCCCCGTCCAGCCCAGCGTGGTGACGTCGATGCCCTCCCGTACCAGGCTGTGCCCAGGCACAAAGGCCACGCTCCTCCTGCACTCCTGAGCCGTGCCTGTGCGGCAGAAGGGAGAGACCCCAGGCACAAGCACAAGGAGGAGGAGAGGGATGAAAACCCTGGCTGTGGCCATGGCTGGTGTGATGAGGGGCACCCCTCACCCAAAGCTGCTGTTGGGCTTTGACCCTCCCTAGAGGGAGAGAAACAGAGAGAGTCTTCAGTCATGACAATCTAGCGGCAGGGAGTTCCACAGGCCAACACAGCCCAGAAGTCTCCAGGCTTCTATGGCTCTCCCTGCATCTGAGAAGAGAGATCTCCAGCAACTTATACTAGAGCCTGCCACCCCCTTGTCCTCTGAATCTAATGGAGAATCACTGCTGGGTGTGAGCAGTGCAGGGGCTATGACACACACAAGCTGGCAGTTCGGATTCTTTCCAGTGTGCGGGAGGGGCGGGGTACGGTTTAGTCGTGCGTAAAAGGGAGGTGACACACATGGGCGAGTCGTTCTCATTCCTTCCACTAGATTGGGGTGCCGACAGGCTCCGGGGCACAGCCCCACTCCCTACCTCACCCCCAAGATCAGTCTCCCCTCTTTGTGCTGGGATCTGACTCCCCCCGTGAGCTGCAGCCACTTTGGTGCCCTGGGCCAACCACACATGGCCCCTTTCCCTCCAGCAGGGAGAAAGCAGAGCAGGGATCCTTCGCACGGCCCCGAGATGCAGCCAGCTCTGGGGTGGGGCAGCTGGGGAACAGCCAGAGAGCGCTGGGACAGGCGTACAGTGGGACCTCCTACCTTCAGACTCCGCTCCTCCAGCTCCTCCAGCTCTGGCCCCCAGCACGACCCCCAGACTCCCCTGCCCCGTGGGTTACCTGTCTGCAGCCGAGCACAGGGCTCCTGTCGGCGGATAGGGGCTGGTTCCCTGGCTGCTGCCTTTGCCCACGGTGCCCTGTGACTGCCACCGGGTGCTGCCCGCTCCAGCGTGTGCCCACGGCAGCTGGGGAGTTTCCAGGAGAGGTCCTGGTGCAGATGCCAGCTGGATCCTAGCAGGGAGCTGCGCCTTCTGGGCATGTTAATTGGGGGTGGGGTAGGCAGAGGGAACCCCGACCCGTGTCTCCAGCAAACCTCCCTCTCTAATGAACCCAGCAGGTTCCAGGCTGCTCTTGAATGACGGGGACCTGGCTGGGGGGGAAGGACCAAATGCTGATTTTGGTGACCCCCTTGGAAGCCCAGAGATGGGTCCGGCAAGCTAGAGAAGGGGTTAACGACTAGCAGGCTAATGAGCCCGCATTCAATATCTGGAGACAATGCCTATTGTGTTCACATAGCTCGCCCCCCCCCTGCCACTATGCTCTGTTAACCCCCAGAGCCGCAGGCCACGGTCACATATCGCTGCCTTCGTTTCTCCACAGGCTGCAGGGAACTGCCTGGAGATGGCCAGAGACGGGCGGCGGCCTCGTGCTAATCCACGGAGCGAGTCCTCTGGAAATAGCAGGTCTTCAAAACCACGGTGATCAGCGAGTATCACCTAAGGCAGATTGCTGGCCGGGGGTGCCACCGAACCGTAAAAGGGTGCAGGGGCCCTGACCCTGTGAGCTCAGCCGCCCTCAGTTTGCTCAGGGAATAGTTGAGCCACAAAGCTGAGGTCTCCCTGGATCTGCTGGATGCTGGACAGGAACCGGGTGAGCTTGGGAAAAGGCTCTTTGCTGGCGTTCGCGGAACTCGGCGTGTGACTCGGCTGCCCGGGTGGGAGCCCAAGGCCGGGTGGCGACGGGAGCAGCGGGGCTGCCTTCTGCCAACCAGGCCGGGGCTGTAGACGCCGCGCTCTGGCTGGCTGGTGAGTGGAATTCTGAGAAACAACCCCAGAGTGGGGACGGTCTGCCCCCTTCTTTGCCGTTTGCCCTGAGTGACAGTCCCTGGGGATTCCGGTCCAGGGGCCTGAAGCCAGGACCCCCGAAGTGCTATTGAAAGCCAAGAGCGTTTGTGGGTGCCGGGTCACCCCGGGGCATGTGTGTTGCGTGTTCCCCCCTCTGCTCCGAGGACAGGGTGGGGGAGAGGCAAGACCCTGGACGGGATACAGGGGGGCAAGGGGAGTGGCAGGGATGGGTCTGAGCTCCTCCCTCAGACCCCTTGGTTGTGGCAAGATCTGCGGGAGACCTGAGCCCCCCTCAGTCCCTCTGGCACCGTCTGGTAGAATCGGGCGGGGAGGGAGGGCTCTGCCCCTCTCCTGGCCCCCATGCACGTGCTGGGACCTGGGGGTCAGGAAGGAACGATTCCTTGGGGCAGAATAGAGGCCAGTAGAGAGCGAGGGAAGCGCTGATGGAGGCATTTGGGGTAGATGTGGGCAAAGGGGGAGATCGGAGTTACTGGGGGTCAGGAGGCTGTAGGGGTGCAGAGGGGGATCTGCACAGGGAGACTGGGGCGCCCGAGTC